GTGATGGCGGCGTGGACTCCCACGGCCAGGATGTCCGGTACCTCCTCTTCACGCACGTGCATTTCGTCGTGTCTTATAACGGGGATAGGATCATTGCGATTATCGTGAGCACGGATCCGTCGCAGACGGTGGATATTACCGCGGATGCGGAGGTGAAGGTGGAGTTCAGCTTCAGCGTGCGGTGGGAGGAGACGAACATTCCGTTCGAGAAGAGAATGGAGAAGTACTCGCGGTACTCCTTCATGCCGCAGCACCTGGAGATTCACTGGTTTTCCATCATCAACTCGTGCGTCACCGTGCTGCTTCTCACTGGCTTCCTCGCCACCATCCTCATGCGCGTGCTCAAGAACGACTTTATCAAGTGAGTGCGCCGGGCAGACTGGGAAAGGATGGGGTTCAGGGGGGTGGTAAGTTGAGGGGGGCGGGATGCAAAAGAGGAAGGGTGGGAAAAATTGGGAGTGTGAGGGCTATCAAGATCTCGTGTTTGTGTATGGGGCTGCTGGGACTGAGGGGCCATTCTCTGGACGTACACAACTTGTGCACCTCATCTCGCTGGTTCATATGTATGAATGATTGCGCTTGTTCTGCCGTGTTTCCGCGTGTGCGTTTGAAGGTATACGCGTGACGACGAGGCTGCAGAGGAGCAGGAGGAGACTGGGTGGAAGTACATCCACGGAGATGTATTCCGCTTCCCTCCATTCCCTTCGTACGTGTCGTTTCTTCGCCCTGCATGTTCTGCTTTGCGGAAAGTTGCTATGGTGCATTTATCTCAGTCTAAATGCGGCTTCCTGACTAAAAGCGCACCACATCTCCCTGCCGTCCCCTTACTTATCACGCGTAGAATTCTCTTGTCCGTTCTTTTTCCTGCCTCGTTTCTCCCCAGGTCACTGTTACCTTCATCAACCGCTCCCCCGCTTTGCTCACAAACACCTCGCCCCTCCTCGATTGTTTTACACCCTTCCCTGTCACAGTGTCTTCTGCGCCCTTGTTGGTGTGGGCACGCAGTTGCTGGTGCTCGTTCTCTTTGTCTTCGCGCTGGCGCTCATTGGAGTCTTCTACCCGTACAACCGCGGTGCTCCCTACCAGGCGTGCATTGTCCTGTATGCTCTCACTGCAGGCATCGCAGGCTACGTTTCCTCGTCTTTCTATCGCCAGATGGGCGGAGAGAACTGGGTGAGTGCTCTGCCGCAGGGAGCATCTCACGTTTTCTCTTTCCGCCTCTCTGCCACTTTGGTTTCCCCTTTCGCGCCTCACTCGCTGTCACCGCGTCCCTTTGCTCCCCGTATGGTGTTCGTTCAGGTGCGCAATGTGGTCCTGACAGCGCTGCTCTACTGCGGGCCCTTCCTGCTCGTATTCTCCTTCAACAACTCGGTCGCCATCGCCTACGGTTCCTCCCAAGCGTTGCCCTTCGGCACCATTGTCATCATCATTGTCATTTGGACGCTTGTCACCTTCCCCCTTACGGTACGCTCTCTTTCTTTGCCTACCTGTCCTTAGTCGATTGTCAGTCTTTGTCTCGACTTTTATTCTTTCTTCTGGCCCCAACCCCATTCCCCGTTCCCCTCCCATCCCCCGTCCGTTCCTTTCTCTCTTAGTCCTCAGTTTTGTTGCATTTCCAACCTCTCGTCTGTATTCAACCCGCCTCTCCACTTCCCTCCTTCCTTGAACTCGCACACACACTCTCACCATCACATTACGCCCCATCCCCTGTCCCCTTCTCTCAGGTGCTGGGTGCTATTTGGGGGAAGAAGAACGCAGGCGAGTTTGAGGCGCCGTGCCGGACCAGCAAGTACCCTCGCGAGATTCCTCCCCTGCCCTGGTACAGGACGGCTGTTCCCCAGGTCAGTCGGTCCCAACAAGACGGGGATGGATCTGGGGTGGTGGAAAAGGCTGAATCCAGGAACTGGTTATCACAATGAAAAGTGTACACGTGCAGGTTGTGAGTGGGGACGAAAGAAAGGGTGAAATTAGGGTGGGAGGGAATGAGTAAGGGAGAAATTGCGGGCAGTTGCTAGGAGGGACTGTGTGTGGCAGAGAATTTGGATGAAGTGACGTTCTGAGAAGTTGATGGTGCTTGGTTGCTGGACCCCATTTGCGTCTTCTTGCCCCTCCTGCCGCCACTCCTTCCCCGCTCCCCCGCTCCCACCCCGCTCTTCCCTCCTCCCATGCCACCATTCTAGCACCCCTCACTCTCTGTCCATTTCATAAAAGCCAGCACGCTTTTCACAATGTCTATACTACATCCTTGCGCTCACCATCACCATCTTCCTGCATGTTTGCATTTACACATGCCTGTCCTTGCCCCAACCCTTCGATTCCCTGGTGGAGTGCAGATGTGCATGGCTGGCTTCCTGCCCTTCAGCGCCATCTACATTGAGCTCTACTACATCTTTGCCACGCTCTGGGGCCATAAGATCTACACCATTCACAGCATCCTCTTCATTGTCTTCCTCATCCTCATCATTGTCACCGCCTTCATCACGATTGCTCTCACCTACTTCCAGCTGGCAATTGAAGATCATGAGTGGTGGTGGAGGTAACTCATTCTTGGTGTCAGCCGTTTTTCCGTTCTTCCACGATCTGGCTTCTGCACCTCACTTGTGCTGCCACCCTTCTCATTGCAGTTGGCATTTGTGATTCACTCGCCTCTCATCACCTGCTTCCTGTCCATAACATCTTCTTGTCTATCCAGCAGCTTCACCTTGGACATATATCGGGCCGATTTTCATATTGTGATCTCCCCATCCTTGTCCTGTATGTTGATGTTGGCAGATCGGTGCTGTGCGGTGGATCGACAGCCTTCTTCATCTATGCGTACTGCTTCTACTACTACTTCGTACGCTCCGACATGACCGGCTTCATGCAGACATCATTCTTCTTTGGCTACATGGCCTGTGTCTGCTACGGCTTCTTCCTCATGCTTGGCGCAGTGGGGTTCCGTGCTGCGCTGCTCTTTGTGCGGCACATTTACCGGGCCATCAAGTGCGAATAAGTAGTCGGGTCACTTGTGAGCGACCGAGGAGGAATGAACAGAGGCTGTGCTGGACTGGCATGTGAAGGAAAGGAGGGGGTGTAGCAAGGCAGGAGGAGAGTGCCACTTTCAAGGAAGCTGCTGATATTAGTGCACACACACTTCACAGAGATGTGGGACTCAGAAGTTTGTGGCAACTGGCACCTTTGATCTGGTAGAGTGGCTGGAGACTGTACTGTTGCCATGACTGGTGCTGAACTTTTGTCTTGGTGTTGAACATGGTAGTGGGTGGGGTGGAGGGCGGAGTGGGTGGTCAGTTTAGTCAAGGTACTGGTATCAGAGATTGTCACCATTAGTAAACAGGACACGTTTGTAGGGAAATGAACAGCAGGCGTGATCTCTTTTTGTTCCTCCTGTGAGATTTACTGCCAGGGAGTGGAAGATGAGTAGATACAAAGATCATTGGCTGATCAGCTTGTTACAAGTCATTTGCGTAAATGGATAGCATTCCGATACAGATGGTAAGCGAACATCTGCGACCACCCTTCATGCAACGTAACCACGATCTCCACCACCCAATTCTCCCAACATCAATCCTCGTGACCACCAGTGTCATCATCCCCCCTCCTCTTGCGGACCTCGTACAACCCCACCCTCGCACACGCAAAGACAAAATGCAATTTCCTTGCTACAAGCGAACATTTCTTCCAGCTCCAGCCAGATAATATTTTCTTCCAGTTAGTCGTGTAACCGGACGCATTAATCTGGTCTGAGCTTTGTTTAGCGACTAACCTTTCCGTTTCTTGTGATAGTGTTGCTGCGGCCTGTCGGTGATCCGCCGCCTCCTCGTGTTTTTTTTATTAAACGAGAGAGGTATGCTGTTGTCCTAATGTTTTTTTTTGTCTTCGGAACATTAAGGTGGTCAGGTCCGTTGTTGCGAAATTCCATTTTTCTTCAAATTAGCTCGCTATTATGTATGTTTGTCAAACGCTTCGTCGCGCTAACCATAACCACGGGAATCGATCCAACGAGAGCAGTCAGGTAATGTCCATGAAGGATTGATTCGTGTTGTTTGGTCTGTTTGGTCGTCCCGTTCAGTCTCCACATTTTAAAAAAAAGCTGTATATCTTTGTCCGGATCGGCCACGCGGAATTCCGTTTTCCCTAAATTTTGTTTTCCTGGGAACTTTGCATTTGAATGGTTCGTCTGCATTTTCGTGGCTCTTTCTGTTCTTCTGACTTCGACGTTCTGGTTTCGTTTCGTTCCGTGCTGTTCCATGTCGCGTCACACCCGTTCGTCTTTTCAGGAAAGTGGTTCCTGATTCGCCACGATGTTGAACCTTCAGCAGCTGTTTCAATCGGCTTCTGCAAAAGCGCAGCAGCAGCAGGATGAGGGGCAGCAAGATCAGGGCGCAGGGGCTCAGGGACTGGGACAGGGACAGGCACAGGGACAAGAGCAGCAGGGGCATGAGCAACAACCACCCTCGCAACAGGATGGATCGGTAGCACAGCCGCCGCTTCCCCATCATCATCAGCAGCAGCAACTGCAACAGCAACAGCAGGAGCAGCAGCAGTTTCTGCACCAGCTGCAGCAGCATCAGCAGTATCAGCAGCATCAACAGTATCAGCAGCAGCAGCAGCAGCAGCAGCAGCAGCAGCAGCAGCAGCAGCAGCAGCAGCAGCAGCAGCAGCAGCAGCAGCAGCAGCAGCAGCAGCAGCAGCAGCAGCAGCAGCAGCAGCAGCAGCAGCAGCAGCAGCAGCAGCAGCAGCAGCAGCAGCAGTATCAGCAGTATCAGCAGCAGCCACCGCAGCAGCAGCAGCAGCAGCAGCCGCAGCAGCAGCAGCAGCAACCGCAGCCGCATCCACAGCCGCAGCAGTCGCCGCAACACCCGTCGAATCCGATTTTGACATTACTGCAACAATCAGCCGCTGCCTCCAACCAAGGTGGCCATACTCCCAGTCCGCCTCCCCCCATGCCTCCCCCTCCCGGCATACCCTCCTCCCCCCCTCCCCCCGGGTACGGTCAGTGGATGGGCCCCCCTCCATCTCATGTGCATCCCCATTCCCTGCCTCATCCCATGCACCCCGGCGCGCCTATGCCATACCCGTTACAAGGCATGCACGGTCCCACATCGGGGCCGTCTCCGCCGCCTCCTCCTCTTCCCGGCATGCTGAATCAGCACGGCCATCCCGTGATGCATGTGGGCCCTGGCCCCTCCGGAGTTCCCCCGCATATGCTGCACATGCATGCGCCGCAGTACCAGTATCCGCCCTCGTCTCCGCCCATGCACATGCCCGGGCCTCCTCCGCCGGTTGCGCCGGCCCCCTTGCCCCCGAGCGCCGCTCCCGCCCCCGCGTTCCACGGCGCGCATCTCATGTCGTTGCTCACCGCGAGTGCATCTCCCCCGCCTCCGGGTGCGCAGCCTCCGCCGCCCCCCGCGCAGGCCCCTCCGCCTCCCTCTTCCGCCTCCTCCGCTGCGCCAACGGCCGCGGAGAACGCTTCCGCCCCAGTAGAAGCGCCCTCTTCTGCTTCCAGTGCGCCTGCTCCTTCGGATGCCGCTGCGCCTGCCCCTCTCCCCTCCGCCCCCTCCGCGCCACCCCCATCCTCCCTTCCACCTGTGCTCGGCGCTCTTTTCGGCGCAACAGGCGCAACCGCCCCTCAAACTCCCCCTAGGGAGCCCGCTGCCCCGTCCGCTCCCCCTCCCCCTTCCGCCAACCCGCCGGCTGCCGCGACTCCCCCTTCCGCTCCCCCTCTCCCTGCAGCCGCGGAACATTCTGAGCCGCCCCGCAGCGCCCTTCCGCTCCAGCTGCGCAGATCCAAGCGCGGAGTGGGGAAGGTCTTACCTGGAGACGCGGAGGTGGTTTCTTACAGGGTGGATAAGCGTGATCTGTTAGAAGCAGGTCCGCCGCAGCTGGAGGTGTCGCCTATAACGGTTTACGGGTCAGAGGAGGTGCTAGCGCCGGGCAGGCAGATAGCAGTGAACAGGCGGTATATTAGCTATGCGCTCAGGAACGCGAGCATCCGTGTGCTTAATATTAATACGGCCCTCCGCGCGCTCTTTAAAGGGCACAAGAAGGTGCGGCGGGTGGGGTGTGTGAGGGGCGGGGGATGTGGGGATGCGGACAGGAGAGGTGGGAGGGGGAGATGGGAGTGGAAGAAGGAATTGGGAGGGGAAGGGTTAGATGAGACTTGGGGGAGGGTGACTGTTCGGACTTCTTCTTTTCCCCTTCGCACCTCTGTGTCCTGAGTTTTTTTTTTTTTTTTTTTTTTTTTTTTTTTTTTTTTTTTCCACATTTCGTCCTTCTGTTGCTTCCTTGTTACCGTTTCTCCCCCCACCCTCTCTCCCCCGCCCCCTTTTCTTCCACACCCCGTTCTCCGTCCGTCCCTCCCTTACTCCCCTTTCGCCCCCTCGGTCTCCCTCATCCCCTCGTCCTCCCTCCTTTCTCCGTCTCCCCCCCCCCTCCTTCCCCTTTTCCTCCCCCGTTTCCTCCCCATCTTCCCCCTCTCCCCCGTTCCCTCCGCCCGTGCGTCTCATCCCTTCCTGCGTGCAGCGCATCACGGATATGGTGTTCTTTGCGGAGGACGAGCACCTCATGGCCAGGTCAGTGGGGCGTTAGGGGAAGGGAGGGAGGGAGGGAGGAAGGTGAAAGGGACGGCGTCGCGCATCACTGGTTGACCATTGAAACGCCGCTTTCATGCCGACCCATCTAGCTCCTCATTTAGCTCCTGTCCCGATCTCCCCTCCTGTGCCAGATCTGTTCCTCTTTGCTGCCCCACCTCCCGTTCTCTCCTCTCGTCCCCTTCCTTCCCCTCCTCTCCCTTCCTCCCCCTTCATTTCCCTCCGTTCTCTCCTCTCTCCTCTCCTTTTCTTCCCCTTTTCCCCTCCTCTCCCCTCTTTTCTGGTCCTCCCCACTCCTTCCCCACCTTTCTCTAGTCTCTCCTCCTCCCCCCCCCTCCCCTCCCCGCCCCTCCCCTGATTCCCCTTTGCCCGACCACGCTCTTCTCTGGGCATCATCAGTGCGAGTGCGGACGGGCTGGTGGTGGTGAGGCGGGTGGAGGAGGGCCAGGGCAGCGACGCTGACCAAATCTGTTTCTCTCATCGCCTCCTTTCCTCTCCCCTCCTCTCCTGCCCTATCACCCCTTGCGTGCCCGTCATCATCAGTGCGAGTGCGGACGGGCTGGTGGTGGTGAGGCGGGTGGAGGAGGGGCTGGGAAGTGATGGTAAGGCAGCGATCAGCGAGCGCGTGCTGGCAGTGCTGCAGCTCAAGGGCGCGTGGGGGGACATTGCCGCGCCACAGCTAGCCTGGCACCCCCGGCAGAAGGTACGTGCGTTGGGAAGGTGGGGCGTGTGGAGGGGAGGGAGGCGGGAGTTAGAGAGGGGAAGGGAGGAGGTGTGGAGGGGAGGGAGGAGGGAGTTAGAGTGGGGATGGGAGGAGGTGTGGAGGGGAGGGACGAGGGAGTTATTGGGGAGGGAAGGAGGCGTGTGGCTTGTAGGAGATGGTGACTTGGGAGGGAAGCGTTGGGGCTGGGTTGGTGCCTTGGGTGGACGGGGTGTCTTGTTCTGTTCCACTGTTCCCCCCGATGCTCAATCTCTGTGCTTTGTCCCCCACGCTTGCCCTTTCTGAGGCGCCTCAAAAGGCCTCCACTCCTCCCCGCCCCCAATTCGGCTGTTATTGCCTTTCTGATATGTTCCCTTCTCCGTCCCCTCCGTGCCCGCCCGCACATCCTGGCCTGCCTCCCTTTTCCCTCTGCCGTTTTACTCATGAAATTCTGTGCTCACTGCACTCTCCGCTCGGTCTCCAATCTCTACCGCTCTCCCCTCTCCACTCTCCCACTCCCCCGCTCCTCTCCGCTCCCCTTCCCCCCACTTTCTCTTCCCTTTCAACCCCTTCTTCTCCTCGTCCCACATGGGCAGGACATTCTCATAGTCGCGTGCGACTGCTTCGTCCTCTTTGTCTCCTCAAAAGTGAACACTCCCCCCCCCCACACTCTTCTTCCCCCTTCTCCCCCGTCCCATCCTCCACCTCCCCCACATGGGCAGGACATTCTCATAGTCGCGTGCGACCGCTTCGTCCTCTTTGTCTCCATCGCTGCAGCAGCCGCAGCAGCGCCCACCAAACCGCCCTCGCTCTCGGATCCCTTTGTCATCGACCTCACAAACGAACCACCAGCAGCAGCAGCAGGAGTAGGAGCAGGAGCAGGAGGGGCAGCAGGAGGGGCAGCTGAGACACGTGCGATAGTGGAGGGGGTGATTCTCCTCAAGGGGCACTCCGCGCCTGTGTCCTCATTGCTGCCCGAGCCCTCTGCATGCACGCTGCTCCCCACCCCCTCGCTAGACGGCACGGTAGGTCGATAGGAACTTTGAGGAACTATGGTGCTCGTTGTTTTACATGCTGTGGCATGGCGTGGCATGGCGTGGCATGGCGTGGCATGGCGTGGCATGGCGTGGCATGGCGTGGCATGGCGTGGCATGGCGTGGCATGGCGTGGCATGGCGTGGCATGGCGTGGCATGGCATGGCATGGCGTGGCATGGCGTGGCATGGCATGGCATGGCGTGGCATGGTGTGGCATTGTGTGGATGGATGAATGGCCTTTCCAATCCTCTGTTCTTCCCCCTCCTCCGCCTTCCCTCCCCTCCCCCCCTTCGTCCACCCTCCCTTCCTGTTACCCTCCCTTTGCTGCCTTGTCCCCCCCCCCCCTCGTTTGTTGCTCCGTCCTTCCTCCAATCTTCTCTTCCTTGCTTTTTCTGGTCACGCCCTTTCAACATTGCATGAAAACGATTTGTTAGAATTCTGTGAAGGATGACTTGAGAACTGAAAGAAGTTGATGATTGATTGAGGAGGATGGGGGTATACATAGGAAGTGGGTTGGATACTAGCCTAGGTGAGCATTATTGGACCCCAACCAAGAAGTTGGGTTGGGAGATTATTGGTGGGGTCCAATAATGTTGGCCAAGTTGGAGTTGGGCCAACATTATTGGAGGGGACCAATAATTCTACCCAACCCAACCTTTGGGGTCCAATAATTGGACCAAGGTTGGGTTCCAACCTACAAACTGGGTTACTCCTGTTTGTACACCCAAACTAAGTTTGGGTGCTTAACTCTAGACAAGCGAACTAGCATATGCAGGATGAATAGAATGGAGGTTTTCTAACACAACCCCTCAGCCTGCATAGGGCTAGGAGGCTTGAATGAGAGACGGGGCAACCCCTGAAGCATGAACGCGATGCCAGACAGAGAAGCTGAAGGAAAGGGGCTTGCGGCGTGAAGTCCATCTGCGAGCCGGGGGGAGAGGAGGGGGGGGGACCTGCTGACGGTGGCCAGCCGAAGGGGTAGTGGCGAAGGGAGAACGGCGGCGGCAGCGGGAGGGCTGCGGCGGCGAACGGGAGACGGCGACGGCAGCGGGAGGGCTGCGGCTGCGAAGGGGAGCGGCGGCGGCAGCGGGAGGGCTGCGGCGGCGGAAGGGGGACGGCGGCGGCAGCGGGAGGGCTGCGGCGGCGGAAGGGGGACGGCGGCGGCAGCGGGAGAGCTGCGGCGACGAAGGGGGACGGCGGCGGCAGCGGGAGGGCTGCGGCGGCGAACGGGAGACGGCGGCGGCAGCGGGAGGGCTGCGGCTGCGAAGGGGAACGGCGGCGGCAGCGGGAGGGCTGCGGCGGCGGAAGGGGGACGGCGGCGGCAGCGGGAGGGCTGCGGCGGCGGAAGGGGGACGGCGGCGGCAGCGGGAGGGCTGCGGCGGCGGAAGGGGGACGGCGGCAGCGAGAGGGCGGCGGATGGCCCTTAGGAGGAGGAAGCGAGGGGGAAGGAGGGCGGGATGGCCCTTAAGGAGGAGAAAACGAGGGGAAGGAGGGCGGGATGGCCTTTAAGGAGGAGGAAACGAGGGGGAAGGAGGGTGGGATGGCCCTTTAGGAGGTGGAAGCGAGGGGGAAGGAGGGCGGGATGGCCCTTAAGAGGAGGAAACGAGGGGGAGGAGAGCGGGATGGCCCTTAGGAGGAGGAAGCGAGGGGAAGGAGGGCGGGATGGCCCTTAAGAGGAGGAAACGAGGGGGGAGGAGGGCGGGATGGCCCTTAAGGAGGAGGAAGCGAGGGGGAAGGAGGGCGGGATGGCCTTTAAGAGGAGGAAACGAGGGGGGGGGGAAGGAGGGCGGGATGGCCCTTAGGAGGTGGAAGCGAGGGGGAAGGAGGGCGGGATGGCCCTGAGGAGGAGGAAGCGAGGGGGAAGGAGGGCGGGATGGCCCTTAGGAGGAGGAAGCGAGGGGGAAGGAGGGCGGGATGGCCCTTAGGAGGTGGAAGCGAGGGGGAAGGAGGGCGGGATGGCCCTTAAGGAGGAGGAAACGAGGGGGGAGGAGGAAACGAGGGGGGAGGAGGGCGGGATGGCCCTGAGGAGGAGGAAGCGAGGGGGAAGGAGGGCGGGATGGCCCGTAAGGAGGAGGAAACGAGGGGGGAGGAGGGCGGGATGGCCCTTAGGAGGAGGAAGCGAGGGGGAAGGAGGGCGGGATGGCCCTTAAGGAGGAGGAAACGAGGGGGGAGGAGGGCGGGTTGGCCCTTAGGAGGAGGAAGCGAGGGGGAAGGAGGGCGGGATGGCCCTTAGGAGGAGGAAGCGAGGGGGGAGGAGGGCAGGATGGCCCTTAAGAGGAGGAATCGAGGGGGGGAAGGAGGGCGGGATGGCCCTTAGGAGGTGGAAGCGAGGGGGAAGGAGGGCGGGATGGCCCTTAAGGAGGAGAAAACGAGGGGAAGGAGGGCGGGATGGCCTGTAAGGAGGAGGAAACGAGGGGGAGGAGGGCGGGATGGCCCTTTAGGAGGAGGAAGCGAGGGGGAAGGAGGGCGGGATGGCCCTTAAGGAGGAGGAAACGAGGGGGGAGGAGGGCGGGATGGCCCTTAGGAGGTGGAAGCGAGGGGGGAGGAGGGCGGGATGGCCCTTAGGAGGTGGAAGCGAGGGGGAAGGAGGGCGGGATGGCCCTTAGGAGGAGGAAGCGAGGGGGAAGGAGGGCGGGATGGCCCTTAAGGAGGAGGAAACGGGGGGGGAGGAGGGCGGGATGGCCCTTAAGGAGGAGGAAGCGAGGGGGAAGGAGGGCGGGATGGCCCTTAGGAGGATGAAGCGAGGGGGAAAGGGGGGCGGGATAGCCCATAGGAGGAGGAAGCGAGGGGGAAGGAGGGCGGGATGGCCCTTAAGGGGGAGGAAACGAGGGGAAAGGAGGGCAGGATGGCGAGGCGACGAGGCGGCGGAGCGGGGCGCCGGTAGGCGGGAGGGGGGAGGCGACGGGAGCGGGGCGCCGTTAGGTGCGAGGGCGGAGGCGACGGGAGCGGGGCGCCGTTAGGCGCGAGGGCGGAGGCGACGGGAGCGGGGCGCCGTTAGGCGCGAGGGCGGAGGCGACGGGAGCGGGGCGCCGTTAGGCGCGAGGGCGGAGGCGACGGGAGCGGGGCGCCGTTAGGCGCGAGGGCGGAGGCGACGGGAGCGGGGCGCCGTTAGGCGCGAGGGCGGAGGCGACGGGAGCGGGGCGCCGTTAGGCGCGAGGGCGGAGGCGACGGGAGCGGGGCGCCGTTAGGCGCGAGGGCGGAGGCGACGGGAGCGGGGCGCCGTTAGGCGCGAGGGCGGAGGCGACGGGAGCGGGGCGCCGTTAGGCGCGAGGGCGGAGGCGACGGGAGCGGGGCGCCGTTAGGCGCGAGGGCGGAGGCGACGGGAGCGGGGCGCCGTTAGGCGCGAGGGCGGAGGCGACGGGAGCGGGGCGCCGTTAGGCGCGAGGGCGGAGGCGACGGGAGCGGGGCGCCGTTAGGCGCGAGGGCGGAGGCGACGGGAGCGGGGCGCCGTTAGGCGCGAGGGCGGAGGCGACGGGAGCGGGGCGCCGTTAGGCGCGAGGGCGGAGGCGACGGGAGCGGGGCGCCGTTAGGCGCGAGGGCGGAGGCGACGGGAGCGGGGCGCCGTTAGGCGCGAGGGCGGAGGCGACGGGAGCGGGGCGCCGTTAGGCGCGAGGGCGGAGGCGACGGGAGCGGGGCGCCGTTAGGCGCGAGGGCGGAGGCGACGGGAGCGGGGCGCCGTTAGGCGCGAGGGCGGAGGCGACGGGAGCGGGGCGCCGTTCGGCGCGAGGGCGGAAGCGACGGGAGAGGGGCGCTGTTAGGCATGAGGGCGGAAGCGACGGGAGCGGCTGTAGCGATGCGGCGGACGGAGGGTGCCGAAATCGCCGTAAAATTGAGTCCGCGCGGCTGCTGGTCGCGACGGCCTCGATGGTCGTGATTCGGCGGACGGCACTGAAACCGCCGCGTAATCGCGTGGAAGGACACGCAGGACACATGGTCCTAGGAATCGTGAGGGGCGTGAGCCAAAATGCTCTGACACCATGTTAGAATTCTGTGAAGGATGACTTGAGAACTGAAAGAAATTGATTATTGATTGAGGAGGATGGGGGTATACATAGGAAGTGGGTTGGATACTAGCCTAGGTGAGCATTATTGGACCCCAACCAAGAAGTTGGGTTGGGAGATTATTGGTGGGGTCCAATAATGTTGGCCAAGTTGGAGTTGGGCCAACATTATTGGAGGGGACCAATAATTCTACCCAACCCAACCTTTGGGGTCCAATAATTGGACCAAGGTTGGGTTCCAACCTACAAACTGGGTTACTCCTGTTTGTACACCCAAACTAAGTTTGGGTGCTTAACTCTAGACAAGCGAACTAGCATATGCAGGATGAATAGAATAGAGGTTTTCTAACACGATTTCACTCCTCTTCTCCTTCACCCCTTTTCCTTCAACCCCACTCGTTCACCCTTCCCCTGCCGCTCTCATCCACCCCTCTCTCCCTCCCCCCATTTGTCCCCTGCACCAGGTGCGAGTGTGGAGCAGCACGGTGTGTGTGTCTGCCATGACTCCACATGCCGGCCAGCCTGTCTTTTCCGCCCTTTTCCTGCTGCCCCCCTCTGCTCCCTCCAACCACGCGCTCCTACTCACTGGGGTATGTGCTCTTCTTGGCTCACTGCGGGGGTTACATGCGCTTTCTCACTTTAGGGGTTAATCTGCTCACCCGGTTAGTGCTCTGGTCTGTTCATTGAGGTAGGTATGGGTACATACGTGGTCAATGCCGTCTATCACTTTCACGCCCGTCTTGTCCCTTTCAGCCTGGCTGCAGCCAAGCTTTTCTCACACACATGTGTGCTCCTGTCTCTTTCCCTCCCCTATCCCCACGTGCACTCGTCTGGCCCTCCTTCTCAAACCCCACCCATACAGGGTCCCAACAACAGCGAGCTAAAGCTATGGGCCTCCACCTCCTCCTCCTCCTCCGCCTCCGCCGCTCCCTCCTCTACCACCAGCGTGCAGCAGGACAACTGGCGCTGCATTCACACGTTGCAGCTTCTAGCCGACGCTCCCCCGGTCAAACCCACCGCTGCGAAAAGCAGCGGCAGTACCAGCAGCGTGGGTGTGAGCGGCAGCAGCGGGGTGTTCTGCCAATTGCAAGTGGTGCAATCCCTGGGTCTGGTCCTACTCACTGACGCACTTCAGAAGGCCATTTACGCTGTGTCTGTCCGCTTCGACCCGGCATCCCCCGCTCTCTCCCGTTTCCAATCCATTGCTCATTTTCTCCGTGACCATGCCTATTCTTAGCTTTACGGCCTATTTGGCGGCTCCCAATGGGGAAGGGGTGGGGGAGGGCGCGCAGGGGGAAGGCGCAGGTGGGGGTGCAGGGGGAGGGGGAGAGGGGAAGCAGGCAGGGGATGGAGGGAGAGGGAGTCTGGTGGGGGAGGGGGTGCGGATGGTGATGGTGGTGGTGAGGGAGGCGGAGGAGGGGGAGGAGGAGGTGAGGGTGGGGGTGGGAAGGCTGGTGGTTGGGATGGTAGCGAGGGATCGGGTGATTCGGAGTTGGTGCAGCTGTTTTGCATGCAGACACAGGCCATACAGCAGTACTCCCTCCCTGTTGACATGTGCCTGCCTCCCTCCTCCGAAGACGAAACGCCTGCCATCACAGCTGCGGAGTCGCATGCGCCACAGGCGGAGGTACCGCCAGCAGCAGAACCAACAGCAGCAGCAGCGCCGGCAGCAGCTGCATCAGCGGCAGCAGAAGCAGCAGGTGGAGAAGGGACAGGAGCAGAAAAGGCAGTAGTTTCAGGCGCGGTAGACGTGTTGGGTGTTGGCACAGTCAAGGAAGAGAAAGCAGAGGGCAAAGAAGCAGGGCCAAGGGCAGCTGCAGAAGCAGAAGCAGCAGGTGCAGTGGCAGGGGGAGGCGGGGGTGGGACAGATGGGCGTCCCCACCTGGTGACGCCCCAGGAACTGCTTGCCATGGTTATGGGCATGAGTGGTCCCACTCCTGCTGCTCCTGCTGCCCCCGCTGCCCCCACCACTGCCACTGCCACTGCCACCACCCCTGCTGCTCCCCCTGCTGCAGCTCCAGAAGCTGTCCCTACTGCAGTGGTAGTGCCTGAAGCTCTCCCTGCTGGTGGGTTACAGGCAGAAGCTGCGGAGGAGAAGGCAGCAGAGGAATCGGTCGCAGCAAACAGAGCTGGAGGTAGTGAGGAACGGGGAGAGGGCAGCAAGATACCCATTTCGTACCATGATGCTGCTGCTGCTGCTGCAAGCAGCGTGGCTGCAGCAAAGGAACCTCCCGCACCTGCGACTGCTGTGCCGGAAACACTAGAGCCGGCACTGCCAGCAGAAACAGCAGCAGCAGCAGCAGCAGCAGCCGCCACAGCTTCTGCTTCCACTTCTCCCCCTGCAACGTCTCAGGTGCCTGCTCCTGCTACACCTGTTCTTGCAGCACCTGCACCAGCACCTGCAGCACCACCAACAGCAGCAGCGGTGCCAGTAGCACCAGCACCAGTGGTAACAACACCTGCAGCAGCACCAGCAGTGCAACAGGCAGGTGCTCCTGCAAGCGCTGCCACAGCTGCTGCTGCTTCCGCTGCTGCTGCTGCTGCTGCTGCCAGCAGCATGCATGTGCATGGTCCCGGGCACGCCCCTGTGCATGCCGCTGGGCACGGCTCCCACAAGAACCGCAAGAACAAGCACAAGACTGCCGCCGCTGCTGCCGCTGCTGCTAACGCGGCTGCTGCACCAGCAGCAGCAAATGCTGGTGCTGCTGGTGCTGTGAGCGTGCCAGCAAGCGTAGCAGATGAGACTCACCCTCACGTTCATACTCAAACAACAGCACCAGCGGTGGCTGCGTCTGTTGACTCTCTCCCTGCTCCCACTGCTGCTGCTACGCTAGCTGCAGCAACAGGACCATCAACAGCAGCAGAAACTGCAGCAGTAGCACCTGCAGGGGTGGTGCCAGCACCTGCCGCACCTGCTGCTGCTACAGGGGCGGCTCCTGCTGCGTCTGCTGGGGCAGCTGGATCTGCTGACGTGGCAGCTATGTCAGCATCCATCCAGGCACTCAAGAGTGACGTGGCAGCACTGCATTCCACTGTGCAAACGGTAGGTGTTTTTAGCAACCTGTTGTCCCCGTCCCTTGTTATTCTCTCTTACTTCTCTCTTTCCTTCACCTCTCTCCTGTTACTCCTTCTCCAGCATGTGCCCCAGTTCCTTGTGCCCCTCCCTACTGGCCAGTTCCTTGTGCCCCTCCCTACTGGCCAGTTCCTTGTGCCCCTCCCCTCCACACATACACACACATGTTGCTCTCTTCCGTTCACTCCCTTTGCCTACCCCAACTCTCATCCGGTTTTCTCCCTTATTTCCTACCTTCTTCTCTGCCATTCCACCTTTTCCCCCTCTCCCTCCTATCCACCCTTTCCCTCACCTCCCCAATCTCCCCCCTCTCCTCCTCGCCCACCCGTCCCCCCTCTACCCCCTCTCTCTGATCCCATCCCATCCTCCCTCCCCACCCCCCATCCTCCCTCCTCCCCACCCCCCATCCTCCCTCCCCACCCCCCATCCCCCCTCCCCACCCCCCATCCCCCCCCCCCTTCCCCGTCCTCCCCCTACCAGCTCCTGCAGCAGCAGAGGGAGGCAGCAAAGCACGTGCCAGCGCCGCTCCTCAAGGAGAGCAAGCGCCTCGAAGCAGCCCTGTCCCAGCGTGTCGACCGCGCCACCAAAACCCACGCCGACGCATGCCAGTCCCGCATCCAGGAAGACCTAGCAAAGGAATCCGCCAAGCGGGAGAAAGCGGAGAAGGCAGCGCAGGGACAGGTGGTGGCAGCGGTGGCGGCGGCGGTGGTGAGTGGGAATGTGCAGCAGGTGGTTCCGGCGGTGGAGGGAGCGGTGGCGAGGGAGGTGGTGGGGGCTGTGCGCAGCGCCGTGCTGCCTGCTCTCGACTCGGCTGTCTCGGCTCAGATCAAGGTGGGTTGGTGGAGGGGGGTGGGGGTCGGGGATGGGGGACAAGGATGGGGATGAGGAAGGGGAAGGGGGTGGGGATGCGGTGGGTGTGGGTATGGGTTTGTGTGGTTGGGTGGGATGGGTTACGGGGGTTGGGATGGGGAAGGAGGGAGGGGGGTGGGAGCAGATGGGGGGGGGGATGCGAAGAGGGTCAGTTGGCGTAGAATGTAAGTGTCTTCGGATGTTTGTTTCTGCTCCATGGATCGTTGATTCAACTCTCTTGTGCCCTTACAACCAGCCCTCCCCTCTCGCTGTGATTCCGTTGACTTTTTTCCTCGCCCCTCCACATGTCTCCATATGCTACTTATGCGTTACCTCAATAATCTCATCTTCTGTGCTTCCTTATCTCTCGTCCTGCTGCTCACCATTTGCCCCTCTTGTCCTTCCATTGCATACGACATTTCATGCCATTCATGCCATGTCATTCCTTGCCATGCCATCCCATCCATGCCATCCCATCCATGCCATGCCATCAATCCCATCCATGCCAGCTTCTTGGGCAGGGTCTCACGGAGGATGTGCGTGCGCATACCACTGCCCTCATCCCACCAGCCATCGCTGTAAGTCTCACCTGCCGCTTCCTCCTTCCCCTTCTTCCCATTCTTCTCTTTTCTCTACTCCCGCTTCCCCCCTTCTTCCTCTCTCACTTTCTCAGCCACACATAACTGAACCACATACACGCATTTGCAACCCCCTCCCAACCCTCCCCTTATTCCTCCTTGCTTGCTATTGTTCTTTTTGCAATTATTAGTTTATCCATCTCTCTCTTCAAGTTTTCAGCCATATTGTCTGGTTCTTTTCCCTAATTTAGTAGGCAATTTCCACTCCCTGCTTTTCTTTGCTTTTTGTTTCAACTATTATCTAGCACCACTCCCTATATCAGCCATTCACCTTAAAGTCTTACCTCCACCACCCATCTCCAGGCAATTTCACCAACGAAAAAAGCGCTCTATTCTCTTGCTTTCTTTCTCAACTGTTCTTTCCAACCCTCCAGCCATGACTTGTACACATCACTGCGCCTCACCATCTCTCCGCCACCACCCGTCCTATCTTTGTCCTGTCCCCATCCTTTCCAGTCCTCCCTGCAGGCGTCCCTATCCGATGCAGTGCAGCGGGCCTTCACAGAGGCAGCAGTGCCACTGCCAGCCATGGAGCGGGCCGTGCGGGAGATGCTCTCGCAGCTCGACCGCTCCCTGCTCTCTGGCCTCGCTGCCCAGCAGGCCGCGCAGCAGGCAGACTTTGGAGATGCCGCGCCTCAGAAGTCCTTCCTGCTGACCACGACGGACATCATACATATCACTATGCCTCTCCTCTCCTCCATCCGTCCCATCCCATCTCTTTTCCCACACCTCCCAGTCCTCGCTGCAGGCATCTCTCTCCGATGCAGTACAGAGAGCCTTCACAGAGGCAGCAGTGCCAGCCATGGAGCGGGCCGTGCGGGAGATGCTCTCTCAGCTCGACCGCTCCCTGCGCTCGGGCCTCGCTGCCCAGCAGGCCGCACAGCAGGCGGCAGTGCAGGCAGCAGTGCAGGCGGCGGTGCAGGGAGCAGTGGAGGGGCAGATACAGCAGCAGTTGGCAGCGCTGCAGCAGCAGCAGGTGGTGAAGATGCAGCAGGAGATGCAGGGCGTGACTTCTGCTGCTAAGGCCTCCATTCAAGTGAGTGTGTGTGTGTGTGTGTGTGTGTGCGCGCGCGCGCGTGTGTGTGTGCACGCGTGTGTGTGTGTGGGTGCGTGGGTGTGTGTGTGTGCGTGGGTGTGTGTGTGGGGGTGGGGGTGGGGGTGAGGGTGGGGGCCGGGGCGGGGGTGCGTTGGAGGTTGCGTTGGGGGTTGCGTTGGGGGTTGCTTTGGTGGTTGCGTTGGGGGTTGTGTGCGTATGCATGAATGCGTGTGCTAGTGCTGTTGCTGAAGGATCTGGAGTGTTTGCAGTCTCTGCCGTATCGCGCTCTCCCCCTCCCTCGCTCCTTCCCATCCCACCATTGTCTCCCTTCCCCTTGCCCCCCTTCCCCCCTCTCCGTTCTTCCATGCTTTTGTTTGCTAAGTTCAAATTGAGTGGGTACGGTTGCCAACGCTTTGCCCGTGTATTCGAAAAAGTCTCAATTTACACACCCTGCTCAAACTTCGCCAACCCCTGGAAAACGCAACCAGGATATGGTCTGGTTCCTCCCCTCTTTCATTCCACTCCTTCATTCCACTCCTTCTGATAGCTGTAAACAGAAAGTTGTCTTTTCCCCCTCCCCTCTCTCCTCCCTCCCACCCTTCTATTTCTTCCCATCCCCCTCTCCTCCCTCCCACCCCACTCTCCTCCCTTTTACCCTTCTCTCCTCCCTCCCTCCCTCCCTCCCTCCTCCCCATCCACATGCAGGAATCCGTTGCATCGCTCAGCTCTGCCTCCTCAACTCTGCAGCAGCATCTGCAGGCCCTCACCGCTCTGCCTGCTGCTGCCGCTGCTCCCACAGCTGCAGCCCCGGCAGCAGCAGCAGGAGTAGCAGCGCCAGGGGCAGCAGGAGGCAAGGCCGCTGCGACTGCTGCTGCTGATGCTGCGCAAGGGAACGGATTGGCCGGGAAGGTGAGTGGATGGATGGTCTATACATGGAATTTTATTCATACTTTCTGCAACGCAACCCTCCTTTCCCTCACCACTTCCACCGCCTCGCTCCTCTTTCTCCTCTTTTGTCGCTGGAAGCAGCACTGCACTGCACTGGACCCCACCAGGAAGATTTTGCGATTGCTGGCAGACAACAGATCGCTTCGTTTTACCACTCTCCACCCCTCCCCCCCCTCCCCCTCCCCCTCCCCATCCCCCGCTCCCCCTGTCCTTACAGGCGGTGCCAATGGAGCAGCTGGAAGCGGCTCTGGATCACACCGGAGAGGTCTGTCTTGAGTCGACTCAAAACTCACCTGGACCCCACCAGGGGGATCTGTCACATGTTGACCAACAACAAGCCGCTCTGTTCGGTTTCACCAACCCCAACCTTCCCCTTGCTTCCCCCCAACCTCCCCCCCCCCCCCCTCCCTCTCCCTGCAGGCGGTGCCATTGGAGCAGCTGGAAGCGGCACTGGACCCCACCAGGGAGATCTCGCGTCTGCTGGCAGACGGCAGCTACGAGGCGGCCTTCACCCACGCGCTCTCCCTCTCTGACGTCGCCATCGTCACCTGGCTCTGCTCCCAGGTGAGAGCAGTGTTCAGTTATACCAGGTGCCCTCCCTCTGCTCTCTGCTCTCTGCTCTCTTTTTGAGGCTCCTTACGAGGCGGCCTTCACCCACGCGCTCTCCCTCTCTCGTCACGTGGCTTTGCTCACAAGTGCGCTCTTCTCTGCTCTCTGCTCTCAGCCCTCTGCCCTCTGCCCTCTGCTCTCTGCCCTCTGCTCTCTGCTCTGTCTTTTGAACCACTTTCCTGTCGTAATATCTCCTGTTGCACTTTCTCTGACATGTTTTCCTGGGTAGCACCTTCGAACCGTTCTTTTCTTGCCAAGCCCATTTCATCAAACGTATCCTTTGCGTTGTTATACCCATCTCCTGTTAAACCGACTTGACACTCTCCCCATTCCCCTTCTTTCCGCCTCCCTTCCCCAACATCCCTTTCCCAACGTCAATTCCCCAACATCCCTTCCCCCCAGGCACCCTTCTCAGCTTCACCATCCCTCATCTAGCAAGTCCCCCTCTCCCACATCCACTATCTCTTCCCTCACTCGTCTCCCATCCCTCCTCCCCACCCAGTTCCCCCGCCACTTCTCCCCATGCCTCTCCTCCCTTTCCTCCCCCCATATGAAACCCGGAACAGTCTTCTTCGCGTCCCCACCCCTCAGCCAGGGCGTGCTCCTCTCCCTTGCGCAGCAGCTTAGTGTGGACCTACAGACCGACACTGCCACCAGGGTCCCTTGGCTCATCAATTCCCTCATGACTCTCCCCACCCCACCCACGCGCCCCTTCCTCCAGGTGAAACCGGAAACCGTCTTCTCGGCCTCCCCACCCCTCAGCCAGGGGGTCCTCCTATCCCTTGTGCAGCAGTTGAGCGTGGACCTACAAACTGACACCGCCACCAAGGTGCCTTGGCTCATCAAGTCCCTCATGACGCTCCAGCCGCGTCACCCCCAGCTGGGCGTGCACATGCGGCCTATTCTCGAGCAGCTGTACCATGCCGTGCACCGCGTGCTTGCTTCTGCTGCCGCTAAGCCGGAGGGTGGTGATGGGGTCGATGGGGGTGCCGGGGGAGCGGGTGCAGGGAGGCTGAGTGAGAGTGTGGTGCGGGAGCTGCAGCTGCTGCTGCATGTGGCCACGTCGGTGCTCACGACTTGCTCGTGAGGGGTGCGCTTGTGTGGTGGAGGGTGGGTGGCGTGTAGAGGGTTGGTGGTTTGGAAAGGGGAGGGGATGGGGTTGAGTGGTAAGAGGGGGTTGGGGTTTTGAGGAATGGGTTATAAATCATGATGAGACGCTATGGATTGTTTTGGTTAATGATGGCTTGTGGATGGAAAGTGGGCTGAGGTGGAAGGGATAGTAAGGGGCTGAATGGCATCGGCAGGGGTTGCTGTACTAGATGTAATGGAGTTTCTTCTACTCATGAACTGAGGCTGTTGAATCTTGCATAACTATGATGATGTTCACAAATTGACCACACATTAACCATCAGCACTTACTGTATGTACACAAATTCTGCATCTGGGTGGCACGTATCATTGTAGCAATTGTCGTTATCCCCAGACAAAAGATCCCCATGGAATGGATACGTATGTGACTGCTTCGTTTATTTCGCATACTCTTATATAACTTCGAATACTGGAATGCAACGTTTATCAAAGTTATTTGTTCCGATGTATCCATTCCCACAGCGGCTCGCGTCGCGTCATCCTTCGTTTGTGGCCCTGCGCCGTCTGGTTGACTTGGGTTGGACCATTGAAATTGTTTCATTCTGCCCAAGCACCGTCATAGTACACTGCTCAACGTTTCTTGATGTCCGCCCGAAGTACACGATGGCTCTGAACAAGTCTGCAATCTGAACGTCCAAACATAATGTACACGTATTTGAATCCACATTTTTCAAATCGGTGATTCATCTTGCCCGGAAAGCGTGGCAGCCAATGGAGCACCACCATGCCCTACTGTTTCGCTAGCACACTGTTACTGTATTCCGCCCGCGCGCTGTCGCTGCGTCGTGGTGGTGCCTGAATCTCTTCGACAGAGCACCCCTCTTGTTTTGCCCCAACTAATGAGGCCTAGTTGCCCACAACCAACCCACCGACCAACACTAGGGACCTTCTCGTCAACCCAGATTAATCTCCCTCTGCAACGACGCGGAGGCTTAGAGCGAAGGGCCGAGGTTTTCATGGATCAGATAGAAACGGGTCAAGGGAGCACTGATTTCGTGGGTTAGAGAAACAGAATATGTGGTTGCGCGGCAGGAGTATTGACAGCAGCAACAGAGCGCGGGTAGTAGTAGGCGTTCCAGGGTCGACGTGTATGCGCGACCCGCAGCAAAACAATCATCGCAGCTCCATTAGGGCCGTTTTATGCGCAGAAAACTGATTTTCACACCAACCCTCAAGGGACCCCCGCGCCAATGTTTCCGCCACGACTGTGCTCCGCTCGTTCCGCACGTCGCTCCCGCCCATTGCCGCCTTGTACCAAGTAGCTTAGCGAATGTAACAGCGCCGGGGCCGGGACTGGTGTCGCCGGTAGTACAGACTAACACCGCAGATGATACAATGACATAGCCAAATTGTTCATACCAGTGAAAAGGACCCTCCTTTTTCTCTCCCTTCCCCTCGCTTCTCGCCTCCTTCCCCCCCTTGCTTCTCCCTTCCTATCGCCCTCACTCTCGCCTTCCCTTCCGCCTTTTCCTCTGCCTTCTCTTCCGCCTACTTTTCGGCCTTCCCTTCGGGCCCCCGTCCGCCCTCCCTCCCGCGTACCTAGTGCCTGGGAAGTCGCCGCCGTCACAAGTTTCTATCGCACAGTGGTCGCCGGGTTTGAGCGAAACACGGGGCGTTGTCGCCAAGCATGGGCGCAGGCGACACCTCTCCCTGTCGCACGCGTCGCAGAAGAGCACCTTCGGCACCACTCGGCCCTTCCTTTCTCCCCTCCTCGCTTCTGTCGCTGCTGCTCGTCGTCGGTCTCGCCCCATCGTCCCTGTCCATCCGCGGTAAGCCTGTGACACTCGCCCTCCAGTAGCGCGCGACGGGCAGCACGGGCAGCAGCACAAAAAGCACGGGCAGCACCGGCGGCACGGGTAGCACGGGCAGGTCGGGCTGCAATAAGCTGCTGCTAGACTCGTACCTCCTCTCTTTCTTGTATTTAGAACCCGACAATTCAACATTCCGCATCTTCTCTACCGCCACCCTTTCTTCCCCTTTTCCCCCTTCCCCCTCCCCCTCCCCCTCCCCCTGCCCCTGCCCCTGCCCCTGCCCCTGCCCCTGCCCCTGCCCCTGCCCCTCCCCCTTCCCCGTCCTCCTTCTCTCCTCTCCCTCCGCTCCCCGTTCCTCCCCTTCCCGTCCCTCCTATCTCTCTCTCCCTCCCACCCAAACCACGTGCTGTGCAGAAGTTCGTCCCTTCTCCTCTTCCGCCACTTCCGCCCACGGACCCGCGCGCGCCCTTTACATCGTGCATCTCCGCTCAGCCCCCCCCATCGTGTCTTACCGCGGCGGTATCCCCGGCTTTCCCCCTATCGCGCCCCCGCAACCCCCCGACTCGGATACGGGTGATGAGGAGGGGGATGACACCGGCGGGGACCCATCAGGAAATGCAGGCGAGGACCCATCAGGAAATGCAGGCGGAGCAGGGGGTGCAGGGGGAGCAGCGGGATCAGGGGAAGCAGGGGGGGCAGGGGAAGCAGCAGGAGCGGTAGGAGCAGCGAGAGCGGCGGGAGCGGGAAGCGCGCACCGAGTTACCGCAAGCGCGTATGGCGGAAAGCGGCGGCAGTGGCGGGTGAACCCGCGGCTTCCGCACGTGCGCGCGTTCAAGCGCATGCTGCAGCGGCAGCAGCGCCTGGTGGCCGCTCACGCAGGCCTCCGCGCCGAGCAGCTGGTGTATAGGTAGGTGCAGGCGCGCGGGCGTGCGGGCATGCGGGCGTGCGGGCGAGCAGGCATGCGGGCGTGAGTGAGAGTGCAGGGATTTTCTAGACGTCCCATACGATGCGCACAACATGTAGGCCTCCGCGCCGAGCAGTTGGTGTATAGGTATGTGCGGGCGGGCGGGCGGGAGGGCGGGCGTGAGGGCGTGCGGGCGTGAGAGTGCAGCGGTTTTCTAGACTTCCTTACGATGCGTACAACATACAAGGCTCAGCGCCATTCAATTGGTGTATAGGTAGGTGCGTACGTGAGTGAGTGCGTGAGTGAGAGCGTAAGTGAGTGAGTGAGCGAGTGAGTGTGGGCTTTGAGGCACCTGGACAATCGCCAGGCACCTGGCGGATTGCAGTGTGGAGTTACTTCAGGACATATTCATCACATTCGCTCCCTCAATCCCTCCTTCCCTCCCTCCCTCGCTCCCCACCTCTCTGATACACCCACCCTCCCTCCCCCTCCCCACTCCCCCCCCCCCCCCACCAGTTACGCCTTCGCAGGCAACTCAATCGCAGCGCTGCTGTCCCCGCAGCAGGTGTGGCGCCTGTCGCGCCACCCAGCAGTGGCGGCAGTGCGGGGCAGCGCGGAGGTGCGCGCGCTCACCACCGCCACGCCCGCCTTCCTGCAGCTGCCGCAGTCGCTCTGGGCCGCTGCGGGCGGGGAATGTGTTGCACTGTGTGTGGGCTCAAATGGGGACTCTCCGATTCACCATTCCTCTGCCTCCTTCCTCCCTCCTTCCCGCCCTCCCTCCCTCCCGCCCTCCCTCCCTCCCTCCCTCCCCCCGCCCTCGCCCCCACCAGCTACGCCTTCGCAGGCAACTCATTCGCGGCTCTTCTCTCCCCCCAGCAAGCCTGGCGCCTGTCGCGCCACCCAGCAGTGGCGGCAGTGCGGGGCAGCGCGGAGGTGCGCGCGCTCACCACCGCCACGCCCGCCTTCCTGCAGCTGCCGCAGTCGCTCTGGGCCGCTGCAGGCGGGGAGGGCAGCGCGGGGGAGGGCGTGGTGGTGGGGCTCGTGGACACGGGCATCTGGCCTGAGCACCGGTCCTTCGCGAATGATGTGCGTGAGAGTGGGAGAGTGGGAGAGTGGGAGCACCGGGCACTGGGCACTGGGCGGTGATTTTCGCTTTTAGTTGTGAGAGAGTGGGGCGGGGAGGGCAGCACAGGGGAGGGCAGCACAGGAGAGGGCAGCACAGGGGAGGGCAGCACAGGGGAGGGCAGCACAGGGGAGGGCAGCACAGGGGAGGGCAGCACAGGGGAGGGCAGCACAGGGGAGGGCAGCACAGGGGAGGGCAGCACAGGGGAGGGCAGCACAGGGGAGGGCAGCACAGGGGAGGGCGTGGTGGTGGTGCTGGTGCTGGTGGACAGGACACGGGCATCTGGCCGGAGCACCAGTCGTTCGCCAATGATGAGCGTGCGGGGACTGAGGCTGGGGGGTGGTTCTCATATTTGTGTGAGAGAGTGGGGAGGGTGGCTCGTGGACACGGGCATCTGGCCTGAACACCGGTCCTTTGCCAATGATGTGCGTGCGGGTGGGAGAGAGAGTGGGGAGTGGTGGAGTGGGGTTGAGAGAGCGGGGAGTGGGGGGGAGGGCGTGGTGGTGGGGCTGGTGGGCACAGGCACCGGTCCTGGCCAGATGACACGGACATGGACATAAACACGGCCACGGGCACGGGCATGGGCATGGGCATGGGCATGGGCACGGGCATGGGCATGGGCATGGGCATGGGCATGGGCATGGGCATGGCTATGGCCTGGGCATGGGGCACGGGCTCGTGGCCTGGAGCACCAGTCCTTCGCAAACGACGTGCACGCTCGTTTCGGCTTGTTCTCGACGGCTTCTTCATTTTGTTGCTTTTTCTTTTTTCACTTCGTGCTCTGCTGGACTGGTGGTGGGGATGGGCGTGGGAGTGAGGTTCGTTGGCACTGGATCTCGCTATGTTTTGACTCGACTCGCTATGTTGGCTTATTCGCCCCTCTGCCTCTCCCAACCTTCCCCTCTCCTCTCAACTCATCCCCCTTCTCCCCACTCCCCGCACTTCCTCCCACCCACCCACCTCATCTTCCCTCTTGCCCCCCAACGGGGCCTGCCTCATCTCCTCCAACTTCCCGGCCTCGGCCTGCTCTGACTAAAGAATATCTCCCACTCATCTTCCCCGTCTTCCCTCTCCCAGCACCAGTCGTCCGCACCGTACGGCCCCCCACCCGCGTCCTTCCACGGGGCCTGCCCCACCTCCTCCGACTTCCCCGCCTCGTCTTGCTCCGGCACGTTTCCTTACGGTTGACTAAATCATTGCTTGTACACCTCTTCCCCATCACCCCCCTCCTCTTCGCGCCAGTCGTCCGCACCCTACGGCCCCCCATCTGCGTCCTTCCACGGGGCCTGCCCCACCTCCTCCGACTTCCCCGCATCGTCCTGCTCCGGCAAGCTTGTGGGCGGAGGCAGCTTCCGGGCAGCACTGGAGGCGGGCGGCACGCGGATAGACTGGACGCGCGAGTATGCGTCGCCCCGGGACGCTGTGGGGCACGGCACGTGGTGCGCGGGGTGAGTGCGTGGGAAAAGGGGGTGGGTAGGTGGGTGGGTGGGGGAAAAGGGTGAGTGGGTGGGTGGGGAATGGGGGTGGAGTGGGTGGGGAAAGGGACTGGAATGTGGTCTGGAGAGTGGTTGAGAACCTGAGTGGTTTGGGGGTAAGAGTGGAGCATGGAAGAGCACTGTCCCACTCCACTCCACCATGGAGTATGGCAAACCAACATGGCAAACCAACATGGCAAACCATCCGTCCCAACCCAAGCAGGAACAAAAACAACAGCAACTCGTGTAACCCCTGTGTAACCCGCCCGCACAAACTCCCCATACCCTCCCCTTCACATCCCTCCCCTCCCTCCCATGCCTCGTTCACCTATTCCCCCCCTCCAGAGCCGCAGCAGGGAACAGCAACACAGGGGTGCAAGCAAGCAAACCCAACCACGAGGTATGCTATGCTATGCACAGCCCTAACCCCTGGTGTTAAGGTCCCATCCCTCCCTCACCAACACCATCCGTGCTGCCCTCTCTCCCCCTCGTTCCGCCTACCAGAGCGGCAGCAGGCAACGGCAACACGGCAGCACAAATCTCCCCCACGCAATCCCTCGGGGAAGCAAGCGGCATGGCGCCGAGGGCGCGCATAGCCATGTACAAGGTGCTGTGGCAGGTGGCGGGGGGGTATGGCTCGGGCAACTACGCGGACCTATTCGCAGCCGTGGATCAGGCCGTATCCGACGGTGTGGATGTGCTGAGCCTGTCCCTGGGCGGGTACAACCCCTCGGCCACGTACTTTGATGACCTGCCGTTCCTGCGTGCCCTTGAGGTGAGACTGGGAGGAAGGGCTTTGGTTTTTGAGGTGGGGGGTGTGTTTTGGCATCTCATGGAGTCAACCCCTCGGCTACGTACTTTGATGACCTGCCCTTCTTGCGCGCCTTTGAGTAAGTTGTGGAGGGAGGGCTTTTGACACGCCTCAGGAGTCTTCTAAAGTCGCACTGTGATGACCTGCAGTTCCTCCGCGCCTTTGAGGTGAGGAGTGGGGGCAGGGGAAGCAGCTTGGAAAGGAGGTACGTGTTGATGCATCTCAAAGCAAGCCGTCTTTCCACAAGGCCCTGGAGGGTGGGGAGGAAGGGAGAGGTGGGGGAGGAGAGGGGGTTTAATGTTAGAAAGGCGGCTAGTTGGCTTGGTTTGGCTTTCCAACTCAGCCTGTGAGCGTTGAGTTGAGTTTGGAAGGCTGCAGGCAAGTACCAATCCGAATCTCAATGTAGTTCTATGTCTCTGCTCCGCTCCCTCCCCCCTCTCTCTTCCCATCCCCTCCCCTCCACTATCCACGTCCCCATGTGGCTGAGCATGCAGAATGGCATGGTGGTTGTCTTTTTTTTTTAGTCGACTCATAGCATAGTTCTATGGCTCTGCTATGCCCCCTTCTCCCCCTTTCCTTTCCATCCTCCTCCCTCCCCTATCCACATACCCATGCGGCCATGCACTCAGGCGGGCATAGTGGTGGTATTTGCGGCGGGTAATGCCGGTGCGCCTTCCTTCGCACGCACCATCTACAACTTCTCCCCATACTACATCACCGTTGGAGCCAGGTACACATGCGCGCCATGCAGTGCCGTGCTGTGTCATGCCGTACCACCATACCGTGCCACTCTATTTCCTATGCTATGCCACCACCTGCCGCTTCCTTCGCACGCACCGTCTACAACTTCGCCCCTTACTACATCACCGTTGGAGCCAGGTACACATTACCATTGGAAGTTACCATTACCAACAGTGGTTACTGCATCACCGTTGGAAGTTACCATTACCAACAGTGGTTACTACATCACCGTTGGAAGTTACCATTACCAACAATGGTTACTACATCACCGTTGGAGCCAGGTAACCGCCATGCTGTGCCATGCCGTACCGTGGCATCTCGTGCCGTGCCACTATGCCATGTCATGCCTTGCCATGTCATGTCATGCCGTGCCGTGCAATACCGCGCCGTGCCATACCGCGCCGTGCCATGCCCTCCCACCTGCCCACGTCAGAACCCTTCAACAGTCAACTTTGTTTCGTGCCCTCTCACTCAACTCAAGAAGCGCCTGCTTGATGTTTCTTTTTGTTTTCTTCTTCAACTGATGTTTCTTTTGTTTCTTTGGCTGATGTTTCTGTGCTGTGCGTGTGTGGTTGTGCTTACCTGCCTGTCCTCTCATCCCCTCCCCTCCCTCCAGCACCATCAGTCGTTCAGTGACCTACTCCGGTGTGTCATTCACCCAGGCATCCTCACAGGCATCTGCACTCTCGCTCTCAACAGCCACCTCTTCCACACCCACCTTCAACACCAGTACCGCCAACGCCACCACCACAACCACAAACCCCAACACTTCACCATCACCATCAGCATCACCATCGGCATCAGCAGTACCACCAAACACAACTACCGCCGCCCTCGCGCCCCCATACGTCGCCGACTTCTCCTCCACTGGCCCTCTCTCGCTCTCCTCTCGCCCGCGCAACGGTCGCCCCACCAACGACATCCTAAAACCCGACATCATAGCCCCGGGAGTAAACCTCTGGGCTGCCGCACCCGCTGCTCGAAGGCTCGCCTCCCCTGCCACCTCTCTCTTTGCACAGCTGTCCGGGACTTCTATGGCTACTCCGCATATTGCGGGGATTGCTGCGTTGCTTGTTCAGCGGAATCCGTCTTGGAGTGTTGGTCAGGTGATGTCTGCGGTTACCACCACGGCTCGGGTTACGAGCAGCAACGGCCGGCCGATTCAGAATTGGGCGGGGAAACGGGCGAATCCGTGGCAAATGGGAGCGGGACACGTGGATACGCTACGGCTGCTAGATCCTGGGCTCACGTATGATCTCCGGGCGGCCGATTTTCGGAATTTTCTGGCCGGGCAGAACATGGGACTGGCGGCAGCGGCGTATCCTGGGGAGAGGCTGTATCCGATACAAGCAGCTCGGTTAAACCGACCGAGTATTTCAGTGACGCGGTTCTCGGGATTTGTAACAGTAAGGCGTAGAGTAACTAACGTTGCGGCGAAAGCTTCTACTTACAGGGCTGTTGTGAAAAGCCCTCCTTTTGTTTACACCAAGGTGACGCCGCAAAGATTTCGCATCCTGCCCGGGCATACGGTCACGTACTCAGTGACCTTTTTTTCGCCTCCGGGTTTGACGTTCAATAGGTTTCTTTTCGGGAGCTTGACTTGGAAGGATGAGCTGGGGCACTCTGTGAGGTCACCCATTGTTTTGAGAACTACTCTCTTTCGATGAAAGAAATACACACTAATGGAGTGTATATTCTATATACTTTGCACTGTACCGTATGCATGTAACCACTAACCAAAAGTATCTTCTTGCTCTTGTCTCCATTCCATCACTGCTGGCGGAAATTTCATCCAAGTGACTTTTTGAATCTGATTCAATCTCTGATTCAGTAGTGCGCTATACATGCTTTCAGTGGGCAACGTTTCAGCTCGGGCCTGCTTTCAGAGGCATGCGCAGAGCTAAGGTATAGTATGTATTTACTTGGTACATGAGCAAGGAATCTAAACGTGTAACAAGAGCAGAGTGTGTTCATAGACATCCTTTTACTTTCCTGCTTCAGTAAAGAAGTATCTTATCCCATATGCGCACACACTTGTTCACACGGTGTGGTTATACACTTGTAACATCGTTGCATACAAAAGAGTGCAACCGGCCGAAGTGCCAATTGTGCGAATTTGTTATTCTCAAAACAATCAACAAATTGCAGATGGAAAAAACCTCCCCTCGTCAAGCACATTTCCCCTAGGAAGAGTACATCTACTAGAAGTCGCTTGCTTGCCCAGCCACTGCTTCAAAAGCGTAGGACATGCAGTCATTATCGTCACCATATCCATCGTCATCATCACCACCATCACCCTCACCCCCTTGTTGCAGCATGCTGGTAGCATCTCCAGCCAAAGAAGCAGGCACAGAGTCAGCAGCAGCACCAGATGCCGCAGCATCACCACCAGCAGCAGGGGCGAATCCCCCCCCTCTTGTAAACATTCTGCCGCTGCTGCTGCTGCTGCTGTCGGTGGTGCTGCGAGGGGAGGCATAGGAGGAGGAGAGGCGTCTCCTGCGGCCGATGTGGCTGTTGTCTGTGTTGTTGTCCATGGGCCACTCCTCCATCACTGCCTTGATCATGTCCGCATACGCCGCCTGCACATGGCACAGCAATGCACCGCAATGCAAAGCGGCGGGGTGGGAGGGGATCAGGGAAATGGTGTTGTCGGTGTTGTTGTCCATGGGCCACTCCTCCATCACCGTCTTGATCATGTCCGCATACGCCGCCTGCCAATGTAAGGAAGCACAGGGGTGAGTTGGGAGGAAATGCGGAAGAAAAGAGGGGAAGAGAGGGATGGATGAGGCAAGAGCGGAGGTGTTGTTGTTTATGCGCCATTTTTCCATCACTGCCTTGATCATGTTTGCATACGCCACCTGCACATAACACAGCACATGGTGAGCGATGGATGTACAGGCGAGAATGGAGGTGCTGTTCCTGATGGGACATTCGTTTGTGTCCAGGGATGCAAAAGCGAGAGCACAGAAAAGCAGAGCAGAGCACAGCGCACCACAGCACATCGCAGCACATCACAGCACCACACCGCACAGTACCGCACGGCAGAGCTGAGAACCCATCTGCTGCTGCTTGAAGACCTGGCGGGCAAAGTCCAGCAGCTCGCTGTCCAACATGTTGAGCTAGAAATTTGAGACAACTTAGAACTTTTTGAGACGTCTCAAAAAGAAATTTGAGACAACATAGAACTAACTGCTCCAGCATGTTGATCTCACGAATGCGCTGTGAGACGCCTCAAAAGACACCACACTCAGAGATTGAAGACTACACACCCACCTCCTGTTGCTTGAAGACCTGGCGGGCAAAGTCCAGCAGCTCGCTATCCAGCATGTTGAGCTCGCGAATGCGCTGCAACACCTCCTTGCGAATGCCCTTGCGCTCCTGCCGAGGGATTGCAGGGTTGAGGAAAGAGAGCAGTTGGTTGGGAAGAAAGGTGTGTGTGTGGGACAGAGTGGGTGGGTGTGTGCATGTGTACGGCTCGGCTCGCTGTCCAGCATGTTTTGTGACATCTCAAAACTCGTGTACTCGCTATCCAGCATGTTGAGCTCGCGAATGCGCAGCAACACTTTCTTGCGAATGCCCTTGCGCTCCTGTGCCGGGTGCATGCGTGGGTGGGTGGGTGGGTGGGTGGGTGGGTGGGTGGGTGGGTCGGGGGAAGGGGGAGAGGAGGTTAGGTAAGGAGAGCGAGTGGGTGGTTCAACAGGGATGAGTGGAGTGATCAGTGGTGAGTGGTTGGCTAGTAACTGTTTGGAACGGGGACTGTGCAAGAAGTTGAGGGGCCCCAGGGTGGCCATGGCCTGTGCCTGCGCGTGTGCCACTCAAGTACTGGATGCTATTCCAGTATACCTGTGGCACCTCAGTCTTCTCATATGCCGACCCAAAAGCCAACTCGAAAGCCAACTCAAAAGCCGACTCAGAAGTCACCCACCCACCCACCCACCCACCCACCTGGTGCGAGAAGTTGAGGGGCCCCAGCGCGGTCATGGCCTGCTTGCGGCGAGTGATGTACCGCTCCCGCTGCTTGTCCACACACCGCTTGTAGTGGTCCAACAACGTCACACTCGCCTGTAGGTTTAGGGGAGGTGGAGGAGGGTGAGTAGGAGGCTGAGCCGCTGTTTGTCCACACAGCTTGTAGTGGTCCAGCAGCGTCACGCTCGCCTGGTGTGCATGGCATTTGGGGCGGTGAGTGGGGGAGCAGGGAGGAGAGGGGGGGTGGGGGGCCTGAGCTGAGCCGCTGCTTGTCCACACACCGCTTGTAGTGTTCCAACAACGTCACGCTCGCCTGTAGGTTTGGGGGAGGCTGAGGGTGAGCATGGAGGAAAAGATTTGGCACATTCAGCTACAGAAATACCGGAGTGGTACTGAGCCGCTGCTTGTCCTGACAGCGCTTGTACTGGTCCAGTAGCGTCACACTCGCCTGGTGTGCATGGGATGGGAGCCGTGAGTGGGGAAGCAGGGAGGAGGCTGAGCTGAGCCGCTGCTGTGATGCTGGAGCGGCCCAGGAGCGTGATGCTCAGTTGTGTGGTAACGGTGGCGAGGAGGGCACGGCATGGGAAACGGCAGCAGGCCGGCTCTGGAATTTTGTTCAGATTGAATGCTATTGAGTTGATGTATCTTGTGAGGAGCCTCAAAAGTTGACGTATCTTGTGAGGCGCATCAAAAGTTGACGTATCTTGTGAGGCGCCTCAAAAGTTGACGTATTAAGCCACAAAACAACTTCCCCTACAACCCCTGCTCGGCTCGGCTCCCTCACTCACCTCAGCCTTGGCTTCCTCTGGACTCTGGTTCGGATTATCTGCATGGAAGGAAGAAGGAAGGGGAGGGGTACGAGGAAGGGAGAGAGAGGATAGGAGGGATGGCCAAGAGAAAAGAGAAAGAGAAAGAGAAAGAGAAAGAGAAAGAAAGAGAAAGAGAAAGAGAAAGAGAGGAAGTTTCGACGAGGATTGAGGGTCAGAGGGAGGTGGGAGATGCTAAGGAAATGGCCCCAAGGAAACAAGGGATTGGAACAGGAGCAGGACCATGAGTCGAAGCATTCGTTTTCGTCGCGTGTGATGAGTCGAATTTTGAGTCGATTAAAGAATCGACCCATCACACGCGAAACAGGGAATTGGAAGAGGAGCACGACCATGAGTCAAAGCAATCGTTTTCCAGTGGCAAAACGCAGGGGAGAGAGCAAGAGGGAGGGAGTGCAGAGATGGGCCAACTGTGACGTGGTGGCAAATAGAACATTTTTCAGTCGACTCAAGAGAATAAGTAGAGAAGAAAAGCTAGGAGGTTCAGAGGAGAGGAGAGGAGAGAGGTACAGCTGATGTGTGGCGCGGAACGGAGTGCAGGGATCGGCCGATGGTGGCAGCGAATGGCATGGCGAACCATTTTTGAGACATCTCAAGAGTGGTAAGAGAGGTAAGAGAGGCAAGAGAGGTCAGAGTGGTAAGAGAGGTAAAAGAGGAGTACCGTTGAGGTGTGGTGCGGAGTGCAGGGATCGGCCGATGGTGGCAGCAAAGAGCACGGCAGACTGCTCGTGCACCTCTGTCAACCCCACATGCAGCATGTTCGCCAGACGCGCCTGCATGCACCACCATACAGCAGCACCATGCAGCACCATACAGCACCATTCACCACCATGCACCACCATGCACCAAAATGCAGCACCGTGCACCACCATGCACCACCATGCACTATGGTTTCAGGACACAAAGAGGCGTTTGGAAAGGATAAGCATGCGGAAACAGGGAGGTGCTGTGCTGAGCTGCACAGAAGGGGATATGGTGGGATAGGCTTTTGAGGCGACTCAAAAGTCAACACGGAGGTGCTGAGCTGCATAGAGGGGGAGGGGTATGTTGTGGTAGGCAGGCTAGGGTGGAGCTACAACAGAAGCAGCTGATACTGTCACACAAGAACCTCGAGAGCTGGGGTCAATCCCCAATTTTAGGGTGAATCCCCAAAAAGTGGATCTACAACAGAAGCAGCTGATCCTGTGAACTGTCACACACGAACCTTGAGAGCTGGGGTGAATCCCCTGACAGAGAGTGGGCTTGAGTGCGAGTGCAGGGAGGTGTTGGGGGAGGGGCGGAGGGTGGAGAAGGGTGGGATATGCACCTTGGCGAGGGTGAGTATCTTGTCTGCCTAGCCGAGTCCTTGAACGTGGCCGCACAGCACCTCAGCAAGACGGCTTTTGAGCCGACTCAGAAGGGTTGGTGGGTTATTAGGTTATAACTTGCACATGCGCGTGCGTATGAGTGTGGCTCAGTGCAGAGCAGTGCAGGGAGGGTGGGGGCATGCACCTTGGCGAGGGTGAGTATCTTGTCTGCCGAGTCCTTGAACGTGGCCGCACAGCGCCTCAGCATGCGCGCGTTGGGGTACCGGGAGTTCTGTGTTATGCCCGCCACCTGCTCGGGGGAGGGAGGGCCCGTGGGTGGTGGGTTGGTGAGAGAGAGAAAGAGAGGGTGAGTGGGAGGGTGGTGGGTGGGTGGGTGGGTGGATAAGTAGATGGGTATGTTTCGCAGGGGAGGGGGGAAGGAACTGCACACCAAGAAAGAAAGAAAAAAGATCTCTTACGTGTGAATCAATTTGAGACTCCTAAAAATCACTTTAGCAAAGTGATGATGATGATGATGACGGCTACTCACGTGGAAGGTGGCACCGTTGTGAATGAGGTCCATGGCGGCGGGGCTGTTGACATAGTCGATGAGCGGCATCACCAGGTATGCCTTGTCGTACCCGTTCAGTGACTCCGATCCCTCAGGTGGCAGTGGGATCTCCGTGGTGTTGCGCTGCAGCGAGGGAGGTGGGGAGAGGGGAGACGGGAAGAGGAGCGAGTGGAAGAGAAGGGAGGAGCTATGTTGCACTATACGCTCAGAAATTTTTCCGTATCACGTTTATGCGTTCACGTATAAACGGAAAAACGTGATACGGGGACAATACGCGATACGCCTGGACGGGCAGCCCGTCGGGAAAAAAAAAAATCTGTTGCGACCGTTCTCGCGATCTGTGATTCTCCGTAACCTAATTCTGACATTTGAAAGTCGAATGTCTTCCCCCGCACCCACCACCCCACTTCCACCGCACATAACCTCACACCACCTCCCAAAACCAACCCTTCCCTTCCAACCACGAGGTCCATGGCGGCGGGGCTGTTGACATAGTCGATGAGCGGCATCACCAGATACCCCTTGTCGTACCCGTTCATTGCATTCCGCCTGGCCTCGTGAATTTTACTTTTGAGAATACTCACAAGTAAAATTCGACGCCCGTGAAAACCGCTTCCTTGCATTCCGCCTGGCCTCCAGCAGGCTCTCCCCAGGGTTGAGGCTGGGCACTCAGTGCAGCGAGCGAGGTGACTTTTGAGGCTGGGCACTCAGTGCAGCAAGCGAGGTGACTTTTGAGGCTGGGCACTCAGTGCAGCGAGCGAGCACGAGGCGACCTCGACGGTGAACTCTCATATCAGCAGCGGCACCACACACCTGTACCCACCCAACCCAGCCCAACCCAAGCCAACCCAACTGCACTCAATCGCACCCAACCGCACCCAGCCCAACCCACGCACCCGCAGCCAGAGATCGTCCTCCATAATAGGGATGAGCATGCTCCACGGCCACACCCGCCTCGTCTCCGCGTGCGACGCTCTCGAAAACCTTTTCCTGGCATTCCTCCGCGCTTCCAGCAAACTCTCCCCGGGGTTGAGGGAGGGTACCCAGTGCAGCGAGCGCGAGGCAACCTCGACGGTGAACTCGTAGGCGCTGAGCACGCGGTCCACGGGGTCGCGCATGGAGGAGACCACTGACGTGTTGGCCTGGGGGAGCTTCGTCATTAGCGAGTAGTCGTCGTGGGTGGACAGCAACCGGCACTGCGGCTTGCTGCAAGGAGGGAGAGGAGGGGAGGGAAGGAGGAGAGGAGACGGTTTGGCAGGAGGGAAGAGTCAGGACGTGGGTCGAGAGGGGCGATGGATGGAAGGAAGCAGGCAGGGTCCCTGTCTCTCTCCCCTCCCTCCTCTCTCTAGACGGTGAACTCGTAGGCGCTGAGCACGCGGTCCACGGGGTCGCGCATGGAGGAGACTACGGATGTGTTGGCCTGGGGGAGCTTCGTCATCAGCGAGTAGTCGTCGTGCGTCGAGAGGAGGCGGCACTGAGGTTTTCTCGAGAAGGGGAGGGAGGGAGGAAAGGAAGATGGGTAGAGAGGGTTGGGAGGGGGGGAAGGGGGGGGTTGGGAGGGCAGGAGTGATTCGGAAGGGGGGAGAGTCATCTATGTGTGCGTGGGAATGAATGAGCAGGTAACGCAGCTGCTGGGAGAGAGGGAGGGAGGGAGGAGGGCAGTGGAGTGCATGGGGAGGTGCTTCTGGTTTTAATGTGATGTGATGTGATGTGATGTGACGTGACGTGACGTGACGTGACGTGACGTGACGTGACGTGACGTGACGTGACGTGACGTGACGTGACGTGACGTGACGTGATGTGATGTGATGTGATGTGATGTGGTGTGGTGTGGTGTGGTGTGATGTGGTGTGATGTGATACAAGATGTGATGGGATGCAATGCAGTTCGATGCAAATGTGAAGTGATGCGATGCGATGCGATGCAATGCGATGTGATGTGGCGTGATGGGTGGTGGCGGCGCCTTACGATGGGTCGAAGCGGAGCTCGTCGTAAGAGCGAGGGCAGCGCAGCGACACTGGAAACAACGGCTTCAGGAAGCTGCGCGGGGGCCAGCACGGGCAGGTGCAGCAACACGGGCAATTACAAGGGCAGGGACGGTTGTATGTGGAGAAAACGAAGGAGAGCGAAGGGGAGAGGGGGGTGGAAGATGAAGGATGGGGGTGAGTGTGGAGGACGCTGAGAGAATTGGTTGAGGAAAGGTCAGGGTGTGAAGTCGGATGGGGAGACGGGGGAAGAAGGAAGGAAGGAGGACTGTGTGGGGTGGCTGAGAGGGCGACAGAGCTAAGCCCTGTCACAAGGCACATTTACCCGAACAGCACTAAGCTTCACGTTCAACTCGCCTCTGCTAACGGGACTTGCGTTATAGTACAGCTGCATAACACAGCTAAACACCAGACAGCACCCCACAGCACAGAGAGCAGCACAGCACCGTGCGTACCACTGGTGGTAGGTGCGTCCGCCCGTGCGCGGCACATGCAGGAAGAACAGCAGGTCCTTAATCGGCTCCTGCTTCCGATCATGAATATCCAGCCCCTTAGGCAGCTCCGCCATCATCCTCTCTACAAACTCATTCACTAAAGGCAAGCATGCCTCCGCTGTGATGGGGGGAAAGGTCCTGAAATCCGTGCCCATCCCTGGCAAGGGTCCGTGCCCCTGTTCCCGCAGAAGCTCTAGTTGTGCTTGCACGTAGGCTTGCTGCCCTGCCAACCCCGTTGGGCCTCCATTCGCCATCACTCCCCCCTGCATGTCCGCTCCGCCCATGCCCCCGCCCCCTGCTCCGCCCATGCCCCCGCCCATGCCTCCGCCCATGCCTCCGCCTGCTGCTCCCCCCATGCCTCCGCCTCCCGCTCCCCCCATGCCTCCGCCTCCCGCTCCCCCCATGCCTCCGCCTCCCGCTCCCCCCATGCCGCCGCCTGCTGCCCCCTCCATGCCTCCGCCTGCTGCTCCCCCAGGGCCAAAGCCCCCAGCGCCCCATGACCCAGCAGGGTTTCCCCCGCCCGCGTTCCCCCCCCCACCTTGCCCCCATCCCCCGCCTGCCCCTGTTCCCATGGCGGGGAAGCCAGCGCCATTAGCGCCCCCTGCGCCTGCACCTGCGCCCATGCCGCCCATGCCGCCCATGCCTCCGCCCATACCTGCGCCTCCCCCTGCTCCTGCGCCAGCGCCCCCCCAAGGCGCCCCATTTGGCCCACCCTGGTTCGGATTCCCCTGCGCCCAGGTCCCCCCCGCGCCACTGTACGCTCCGCCGCCCCCACCTCCCCCTCCTCCTCCGCCTCCACCACCCGCCCACCTGTTCCCCCCTGCAGCGCCTCCGCCCCACTGCCCCGCACCGCCAGCACCTCCCCCCCCATACCCTCCCCCTTGCCCCCCCCACCTGTTCCGGTCTGCGCCAGTGCCAGTCATTGCGGGGCCTCCGCCCGCCCCAGCTCCGCCTGCGCCTGCGCCGGCGCCACCCCAGTTCCCCGCGCCAGCAGCATTTCCCCCGGCGGCATTCCCTCCCCAACCTCCCCCAGCCATGCCTGGTCCCCCTCTTCCGCCAGCCTTCCAGCCATTCACCCCGCCACCACCGTAACCTCCCCCGCCTTCTCCCCCTCCGCCTCCACCGCCCCCTGCGCCGTTCGGGAACCCGCCCCCTGCGCCTCCACCCCAGCGGTTTCCGCCCGGCCCCACCGCCGCTCCGCCGTTGTTTCCCCCGCCGCCTCCCCCGTAGCCCCCAGCCCCCCCGTAAGCTCCGCCGTTGCCGCGTGCGGGGGGACCCACGTAATCATACACCTGGTTCTGCGCAAGAACCGCTGGTAACGCTGGTGAAGGAGTGGGGGGTGGGGTTAGGGGGGAAGTGCGTGTATGGGGTTTAGGCGGGGGGAAAAGGTTGAGGAAGTGACAAGGAGGGGTAACGGTTTGAGAGTGTGACTTTCAGTCGACTCAACGGTCACATGTTTTATTGAAGGAAATAAGAGAATGTTGCGCCGCGTCGCGTCCGAAGTGAGGAGCGACTTGACACGTGGAAATTCTTTTCGCCGATCAGTGAACGAGAGCAACGAATTGAGGCTGATTCGATAAAAGTACCGAGGCTATATTGTAAAACATGCCGCCGAGTCGCGCGTGGTATGAAGAGAACGGGACCGGACGAAGTGCAAGAGAAACAAATTCCCATTGCGATGCTGACCAATCAAATGGCTGCTGAATTTCTGCAAAGCGGATAATAAACTGACGGAAACAAACACGGAATAAATCCCACGTGACACGCCTGCGTTATCGGCCTACGTACCTGCGCGAGAGAGTGCCAGCAGCAGCGACAAGAGAACGGAAAATCTCATGTTGAATCGCCGTCCCAGCAGCAGTTTTCCACCAGAACACAAGTAACGACGCGACAGTTAGGGGGGCCGAGACCAGCTGGTTTCTTCGACTTCGAACAGCGAGACAGCAACGTGACAGTATGTGAAATGGCGTCTTTTGAAAGCGAGAGAGGCCGCAGAGAGCGAACCAGAATACACCTTGTTGTGGACCACTAACGGAGGATTTTTGCGCACTCAACCATAACTTAGTAGTGCGCACGTGGTGAGGAATGTAGCAAGAGTGGCTTTCTCTCCACGACCAAGGACTGAGATCAGGCTAACCCACCAACGACGTCGCAGACTTGCAAACTATAAACTCAACACGGCACAGCAGTGACAGGATGCCTGGACTGGGGAAGCACAGAGCAGAACTGAGAAAAAGTAGGTGAGGCAAAACGAAACGCAGACCAGAAGCTGAACTACCCGTGAGGGACACTGGTTGGTCAGGGTGGCGCAGGCCGGGTCCCGAAAGTACGTTCTCGCCTAACACCCTATCCAGCCACTTTAGATCTACAACGAACCGCTTTTAAACGTACAACATCGCATTCAGCCGCATTCTGATGTAACTTTGGTCAGGTTTGGTTGTTGGCCTTCGGATTAGGACGTGGTGCAGATCGGGGCGATCTGAGGCTGTGTTTGCTTTGTGTTGGTTGAGAAAGAATTATTTGTTCGGTGCCGATGGGCAGTAAAAAATATCAGATTAACATTGTATCTACCAGCCAAAGGTACGGTCATGTGTTGGTTTGGTGGTAAAATGCCAAAACCTCCCAAATATATATCCAGCTTGCATTCTTGCCCGCGAAAATGCCGCGGTTCTTGTGATACGCAGACAACCAGCTCCCGTCAACCACGGGTTATGATTGGCCAGAGCACGTCAACGTCCCTTTGAGCTCTGTACGGTGTATTTATGTTGTTGAGATTCACCTTCATTGAAGAATACATATATTTAACATATACATAGTGAGTACACTATAGGTTTTTAATAAAATTCTACAAATGTCACACATGTGCATTGGCGATGCTGATATAACCAAAGGATCAGTGGATAGGATAGGATGTGTTAAGCCTAAGAGGAGACAGTGAAGTCTCTGAGATGACCTTGTTGAATAATAATTGAAAGAGAACAAGATGATTGAGAGATAGAAGTACAAGGAATTAAATAGCGACTGACTAGCCATGTACTCTGAGGGGTACATTCCCTTATTAACTGTATTACATAGCTACAGCAACCGCGACTATTACTATCCTTGACAGTTACCGTGTTGCAGTCAGTTAACTGTCGCGCGGTTACCGGATCGTCAAGGGTCACGACCGTTGACTTCCTCAAACGGTTGACCTTCGGGTGACCCTCGACATTCCGCGTGCTCTATATGAGCTCATGCGGTACTGGTACAGTGGTACAGCTTCGGGAATGCCTTTATAACCTTTCGGTTATTCCAACACTCCCCTTCATTCCTGAAGGTGGGCCACGTGGGATTTCTTGGTGATCCCGCAGAGGTCGGCGCAGTGCTGGTACTGCTGACGTGGCAGTTTCTTCGTCAGGAAATCGGCTGCCATGTCACCGGTCGGGCAGTACGTCAGCTTGACTCTCCCCTTGTCGATTTCGTCCTTCACGAAGAAGTAGCGAAGGCCGATGTGCTTGGTGCGGTTGACGAAGCCGGGCTTGTTTGCGATCTTTATCGCGCTCTGATTGTCGCAGAGTAACGTGAAGTGCCCGTTCATCGTCACCTTCGCTTCTTGCAGGAGCTCCATCAGGTACAACCCTTCGCGAACAGCTGCGCTGGCTGCGATGAATTCTGCTTCGGCTGACGAAAGAGCGATGAGTTCCTGCTTCTGGGAGTTCCAGGAGATGAGTCCCGCAGGTTGAAGTTGAAAAATGAATCCTGTGCGGGAGCGTCTGTTGTCAACATCTCCTGCGTGATCAGCATCCACGTAGCCATGGAGTTGCATGTGAGAGTCGAGAGAAAAGTTGCACTAGGAGAAGTTCGAGACGTACAAGAAACAACCCTATACCCTCTAGTATCTAACCCACTACAGCCTAGATATAAACAATATAACATATGTTTGACACACCCCCATAGGCAAAGTGGGGAAGACCTAGAGGCCACAAGACCAGTCAAGCAAGCAAGCTCAGAGTGGATCACAACGTCACCACAAATCTGAGTACAAGGTCAAGGCCACAAGGCCAGTTCACATGCATGATTATATATAAAGACAAACAAGCAAGAGCATGTATATAGAAAATGCAGTACAAGCAAGGTCAAGAAGTGAGCAAGTGAGGCCAAGTGGGCACAAGACCTAGCATCGTACAGAAGCGCTGATGATCACCAGGCGGAAGTGCCTTGGTGAAGATATCAGCAGTGTTGGCCCGAGTGGCCACGTAAGCAAGGCGCAGCTGACCACGCTGCTGCAACTCACGTGCAAGAAAGTAGCGGAGAGCAATGTGCTTCGTTCTGTGCTCCAGTCTGTGCTCCCGACACAAGGCCAGCATTGCCTTGTTGTCTACGTACAGAACTGGAGGAGAACGAGGCGGCTCTCCCAGGTCAGTCAGCAGGTAGGTAAGCCAGCGTAACTCCTGTGCAGCCATGGCTCCTGCGTAGATCTCAGCCTCACAACTAGAGCTGAGAACAGACGACGAGCGGGTAGACCGCCACGAAACAGAGCCGGAACCAAGGCTGAAAGTGTAACCCTGTGACGACCGCTGAGTAGCCAGGTCGTCAACCCAAGAAGCGTCTGCGTGACCAGTGAGGACCACTGGACTCTGCCCTCCAAGCACTAGCCCCATGCCTGACGTACTGCACAAGTAGCGCAACACCCTCTTCGCTGCAGCCATGTGCTCTGGTCGGTGTCTCCCAGGAGCAACATAGCGTGCCAGGATGCTAAGAGGGTATGCAAGGTCAGGTCGTGTGCATGTCATCAGGTACATGAGGCAGCCAACAAGCTCTGGGTACGGGCCACTCGGCTCTACGGACTCATCCGAAGGCAGAGCTGAGAGCGAGTGACGAGTAGACAGAGGAGTGGCCTGAGGCGAGGAGTACGTGAAGTCGAAACGCTGAAGGACCTGCTGCACCATGTGTGACTGAGACAGTGTAATGGTGCGTCGTGCTCTGTCCCGGGTGATCTGCAAGCCAAGGTAGCTGCGCAGTTCACCCAGGTCTGTGCACGTGTGTCGCTTCTGCAGCTCGGACTTCACGTGGGCGAGTCCAGCAGTGTCAGCTGTAGCAAAGACCAAGTCGTCGACGTACACGAGGATGTAGAACGGCGGCAAAGAGGTGTCAGTGCGCAGAAATAGCGACGGGTCGGCAGTAGAAGGAGCAAACCCAAGAGCCGCAAGTGTAGTCCTCAGTGTGTCGTGCCACTCACGTGGCACCTGGCGGAGACCGTAGACCGGCCGCCGGAGGCTCCACTGGGTGCCAGGAGGAAACGTCCCAGTGAAGCCAGGTGGGCGGCGCAGCCAGATCTCCTCGTGCAGGCTGCCCTGTAGGAAAGCTGTGCTGAAGTCAAGAGAGTGAAGCTCGTAGTCACGGTGAGCAGCTATGTGCAGTAGCACCCGAAGAGTGGTCATCTTCGGGGTGGGAGAGAAGGTATGAAAGTAGTCAACTCCCTGCCGCTGACTGAAGCCGCGAGCCACGTAACGCGCCTTGAAGACAGGAGGAGAACCCGGTGGCCGCTTCACCCTGTAAATCCACATGCCACTGACGATGTTCGCCCCAGGAGGGGGAACCTCGTCAACATAGGTGCCTGTGGACTTCCAGGAAGCCATCTCTGCGTCCATGGCTGCCTGCCACTGAGAGGAGTAGGGACCCTCTATCGCCTCCGCGTAAGAGCGCGGAGTCGGGATGTCAAGTGCATCCGGGTCTCCCTCAGGGGCAAGCAGCATGGCCACGAGATGGGGTACAGCAGCAGCAAGACACTGGAACTCCTCCTGTCTGTCCTCAAGGACGTCCGTGCCAAGAGCACACTCACCCCCGACGGACGGAGGACAGACAGACTCAGACGCAGCAACAAGACTAGTGGCGTAGTCGAGACGACAGACAGCAGCAAAGTCAACAAGCTCAGCAACCAAGGCAGACGCAGCAGTGGACTCGAACGACGGGTCAGTGACAACAGTAGCTAACAGACGCGTGACAGTAGGGTGCTCAGCACGAAACCGGTCAGACGCTGGGTCGGGAACCGCAGGCAGTGAGGACGCAGGTGGGGAAGGCAGAGGAGCGGACGGCGGAGCAAAGGAGGGACGACGGACAACAAGGTGCGCGCTAGGTACAGGCGGCTGACGCGTACAAGAAACACAACGACCGGTACGACTGGGACGACCAGACCGAACGGGCGAGACAGGACGCGACGCAGGCGCACGACGCTCAGCAAGACCACCAGCCTGCTCAGTGTAAGGGGAAGGAGCAGGGAGTGGTGAGCCAGCAGGTAACGGAAGACCCGTGGACGACGGGAGAGTAAGAACCTGACGGAGAACAGAGTCAGGCGGCGGTAGAGACGACGGAGACGGTGGAGCGAAGAACAGGCGAGGCGGCGCGGCTGCGTCAGCACCGGTCGCTCCAGCACCTCCAGCAGCTCCAGCACCTCCAGCAGCTCCAGCAGCACCAGCGTCTCCAGCAGCGCCAGCACCTCTAGCAGCTCCAGCGTCTCCAGCAGCTCCAGCACCTCCAGTAGCTCCAGCACCTCCAGCAGCTCCAGTGTCTCCACCAGCTCCAGTACCTCCAGCAGCTCCAGTGTCTCCAGCAGCTCCAGCACCTCCAGAAGCTCCAGTGTCCCCAGGAGGAGCACCCCCAGAACCGGCACCTCCAGACGCAGGGTCGCCAACCGCAGAACCGCCCGCAGTAGCACCCCCAGAGCCGGCACCTCCCGCCCCAGGGTCTCCAGCCCCGGTGTCCCAAGCAGGGACACCCCCAGACGTAGTAGTCCCAGCAGCTCCAGTACCCTCAGTACGAGCACCTCCGGAACCAGAGCCTCCAGCAGCAGAGCCCCGA